CTTGGTGTAAAAAAGAATCCTTCTTCTCCTCTCTATACTTCTTTGGGAGTAATCACAAGAGGTACAGTAATCGAGGTGAACGTGAGTGAGCTGGGTCTCGTCACCCAAGGAGGCAAAGTTATCTGGGGTAAGTAACCAAATACTACTTTTAAGTAATAAGAATTGATAGTAATAGTATTTAGGCTTATATACCACCCCATATTGCTTTACGGCACTTTCTGGGCGATTTACAATGTAAACCTTATTTGCATATTGCCCCCAACAATCTTGGTCCTAATTTTACTGACCTCGTAAGGATGAAAGGCTGAGTCAACCTTGAGCTGGTCTGAATTGAACTCCTCGCTGTGGGCAGAGTTAGCTTGCAGTACTGCATTCTAACCATTGTGCCACCAAGGCGCCTAATAATGCTAATGAAAGAAGTGTTTAAGCAATTACATATTATGTGAGAATTGTATGAAATTGCAGGTTTTCAGGATGAAAACTACAGGATGTCTAGTCACCTCTAAATAAGATGGGCGCCACATAAACCTAATAAGTAAATAAGTATTTCTTGCTTAGCAAGATAAAAAAAAATCACAATTTGCTTGGATCTTGATAATCAGATGACTTTTATCTAAATTTGCCCAGCAGCAGTTCAAGTGTATCTTATGAAAAGAAAAAAAATAAGATCTTATTCATCAATTTCAGCTGTATACCAATGTTTCTTCCCTGTTCCAGTAATACTTTTTTTTGACTCCTAGTCAAAATCCATCTGTATTTTTAATATGTCTTATGTAGCAATCACTCAGCAGTTAGAGGAAATTTTGCAGTTCATTCAAGTTACATTATGCAACTTAATTGTAACAAATTTTAATGTTGGTTTGTCCAGTCTCACAGAAGTAACTTTTCAGTTGGTAAAAATAAAGGCCCGTTATTCTCTTTTCCCAACTCTTTCCTCTTAAGTAGAGTTTTGACACAATGTATTCAAATGCCAGCTATGGAAGGATGCTTTTTTAAAAAATTATACTGCACTAGTAGACTGAATTATTAAGAAACTGCCATTTATAAATATTCATTTTCAGTAAAACTTGTTTTCTTTTCAGGGAAATATGCACAAGTAACCAATAATCCAGAAAATGATGGATGCATTAATGCAGTTCTACTTGTATAGTGACACTGCAGCTGTGGCTGTGCAAGCTTTTCACACACACAAGTGCTTCTGCAGACTTCAGATAAAAGAATTTATTTCGGAACAGCCATCTCATAAGACAAAGGACTGCTGAAGAGCTGGCTTTTCTCCAAATATTATCAAAAATAAAAAAATTCTTGATTAGAATGGTAAATAGACTTAAACCGAATATCTGTAGTCCTTGTTTCTTGCACACAGTAACATCCTTTACTGTAAATTTTTTCAGTATTAAGAAAGTAGGTACGTATGGATAAGTAATAGCTGAAACTAACTTTCTACACCAAATTTCACACATGTGGAACACAAGTTGAAGTATAAGAATATTCCAACTTGGTGGACATCCAGTAGCATCTTGGTAGTGAGAAAGCATGTTCATAGTATATTGCAGGTTATTAGTTCCAGGGAAAATTTTCTAAGTATACAAAATATTCTTAACCTAGGAATATGTGGGTGACTGAACTGTAATCTTGTTTTATATATGTTAAAACATTTCCTGAAGTGGTTTTTTTTCTTTGTATATAGTGAAATGTTAATGAAACTCTTAAGTTAATATGTTTGCTGCTATCAGTGTATAATCAGAACTCCCTCCAAGAGGAAGTGTGGTTAGAAACTTACCCTTTCCTCTGTAATCTGGGATTAGTGTCAATCCTATTTCCCAAAACTTCAGAATACATGGTGGGTTGATCTATCCAAGGTTGAATAGGATGTGTAGGATCAAAAGCCTATAATTTTAATAATATAGATTAGTAGACCAATTATTGAACTCTATGTCTACCAGTAATGTTACTGCCAACCAATCTTAACATTCTTTTTTGTGTGCAGTATGTATAACCACAACATGTTACCTTGTATTAATTTCATTTTGTGATCAAGAGACTAGGGTTTGCTTTTCTGATGGTTTATAGAAACAGCATTCAAACTTTTTATTCCCAGTGACCATGGGAAGATTTCTGCTGCATAGAATATCCCAGTCATTCAAGACTTAGTAGAGCAAAGTTCCCATTGAACCTAAGGGGATTGGATTTCCCAGCTGCAATGTAAAAATCTTATCACTGGTCCCTTGTTCTATTGGCCTACTATGTCTAGTTAGGTTATATTGGGCCATGGATGTCTGGATAAATGCTCACCCATCCTGACTAAGAAGAAAGGAATTTTTTAAGCTAGTAAGAATTATAAGAAAATTAAAATATGTTAAGTTTAACCAATTAGAAACAATGCACACCGTAAGGGAGAAACATGGTATATACTATAAGACAGCATTATATTAAAATGTTTTATCAACAACTCTGCAGATAATTTTCTTAAAAGCATATGCTGCAATGATGATGAAAAATGAATGTTGTGCTGCAACTTAACTACACTGCAAGTTCATGACTAAGGGATGTGCATAAACAAAAATAAACCACAACATTTCTATTGAGCTAAAAGGTAAACATTTTATTAAATTTATGTAGAAGAGATTCTACATACTTCATGCAATAAGTACAGTAAAACAGTTCATGAAATCATACTTGAAAATGGTAACGTGCATGAAATGTAAAAGACACCTTGACACTGGAAGCAGTAAAACCTGAATAAGAAATGAGATCCTAGAAAACTATATAATTAAAAACAAAGTTGAGTTCACATGCTACTTTCTTTAAATATTATTTTTAAACTAAAAACAGATGAATGATAATACTGCTTTTCAATTTTGTTTTGTACAGTATCTTTTACACTTCTGCTATGAACTTTTATCAAGAATTTTGTTCTTTGCAGACCCAATAATTTCACCTATTTAAGCTAAACAATATAATAATCCTTTTGGCTTTACAAATTTGTTCTTAACTAATTTCTCGACATAATTTAATTTAAGGGCGTTACTTCAATAACTGCTGCAGTGTAAAAAAGTTACAAGATAATAGTTGATAAACACCAATAACATTACTGAAGCAAGGTTACCTAATTCCAGTGAGGGAACTCTCCCCCCCCCCCAGTTTTAGTTACATAATGCATACAAATATTTGCTATCATAACAAATCAGTATTTAATTTAATTCTTCCAGACTTTGCTACAGGCATCGTACATTTTTATAAACAATATGTAGTCCAAGAGAGATTTTTGAATAATTTCAGCTAGTAGATTGCTCTCTGCAGAAAGGAGTTTTTCTTACTTGTGCATACAAGAAAAAATATCCTTCTGGTTTATAGACAAAACAATGAAATTGTTTTCTGGAGTGACCACAGATGTCAAAATTAACTTTTAAGATTTTATAACTAACTATCCTAAAAAGGTTAAGAAACTCAGCTCTCATGTAAGAAGTAACTTTGCAATTAAATGTTACATAGACCAATTTAAATACAGACTGAAAATAAATGTTTTTTTTATTTAATGTACAAGTCAAATTTATGATTTGGGAAAAACACTGATTTAAAACACATTTAGTATAGTATTAAATCACCACCAATCCAGAAGCCATAATAAAAATACACACTTAACCACTTCACAAAATATTGTTTTGTTTTACAGAATAAGAATTATCAAGCCCCTTGGGATGTTTATCTAACTCAATACATCTAACGTTCATAACTATGGTTCCTTTCAAAAACTGTAATTTAACCTTGTCCATCTCAAAAACTTCAGCACTAAGTAGCAAAAAAACTGCTCCGATCTTAAATTGTCAAAATGTCTTATTTTACCAAAAAAGGGGAGTACAAGATACAAGCTGTTTCAGGTGCTTTATAAGAAAGTGTTTATATTAGAACCAATATTTCTGCACAAATTCTAATACACGATATACAAAATGTACACTGGTAGAAAAATGTGTATCATGCTGAAAATTCAAACAACTTGGCAACTCTTATCAACCTCAAAGCCAAAACTTCTCATGACCTGCTTTTAAAAAAAAAACAAAAACCTGCATCTATATGTCAAGATGAGTTGTTTTTAAAAAGCAACCAACTGAGCTTCTACAGCCAGAAGCCAAAACACCAATTCTGAAAAGAGTAAAGTGAACACTTTCACATGTTTTCAAGTGAATATTTTTACTAACATATACTCAAACTCAAGACTGAACATGCCTTAAACCAATGACTGAATCTGTCCAACTGCTAATACTTAGAAAATGATAATGATAAATTCTTATGATGGTCTAATCTACAATTACTCTGAAGGAGTTCACTTTACTGTGTATATATTAGGAGTTTTATTCACTGGCAAAATAATCAGAGTACTCCAACATAGATTGAAGATTCAGGTTTAGTTAGGATGATATAATCTTGGGTTTTTTGAATGTGGGTATATAGTATCCATAGAAAAGTTGAAGGGTATTTTGAACTAAGCACAAAATAATATCAAGTATTCTGTATTTCTGTTTAAAACAGGATTTTAAATTTACTACAAAATAACAGTAACAGGGTTTGAAAAAAAACACCCTATAATTATAAATGCCTATCCCTGCTAAGCTTGAAAAACCATCAAGGTGTGCAATTAACCATTTAGGGATGAAGAAAATGCCTGACACTTCACAAATTATGTGTTATTGTAACGAGGGCTTACAAATAACTACTTGAGGCAGCTTAACAATACAATTGTTAAAGTGGCATCTGGACTTTCAACATCTCCAAAATAATTGGTTTATAGTTACTGTCTCCACTTTAACTTCTTGTGTCTTTATGATTATTGTTTAGCAAAAGTAGACATTTACTTCCATACTCAATTCAGTTCCTTTTATGTAGTGGTTAAACAACAAAATAAGTAACAGACTATTAAAAAAACTGGGAATGACTCCAGTATTTAAATACATGGGTATCCTACCGTGGTATGTAATTTTACGGCTTTTTTCTGTGAAGAAAGAAACAATGAAAATGGCAATCATTCCCATTTAGGTTGACTACAATTCTGTTCAAATTAGTTTCCCTTTTTTCTTAGGTGGGCCTTTGTATCCTTTAGCCTTTCTTCGTAAGGTCCGCCTGTCTACTACGGGCACCTCAATTTCTGCTTCTTCTGAACTGCTGTCAGCAGCTCTCTCAGACACGGGCTCAGCTGACTCTTCAGACTGTTCATCCATTTGGTTCTTTTGTCCCTCGGAATGTTGCTGGTAAGAGATGTCCTCCAATTCAACCATCATCAGAGCCCCCTGAGCCAGAGCAATGGGGGCTTCTGGTGAGTCAGATCCACCCTCTTCGCTTTGCTCTTCCAAGGAAGAGGTTGTGTTGGGAGAGACATTTTCAGAAATGGCATCTTCTGGAGCTTCACCTGCTACCGAGTTTGAAATACCATTATTAGAAGATTCTTTTTCTGCTGCTGAAACAGGATCAGCATTTGCTCTTTTCCTTTGTGTAACATGCTCCTCTTCTATTGCCACCTCAGAATCTGCCAAATTCTCAACCTAAGGAAGAAAGCAAGCACTACTGTAAGTCAAATATATGTAAAACACACTACAAAACTCTTAAGAAATACAATATCATAGATGTTGCTTTTAATCCTAAGAGTGCTTCTTTACTTCATTCATTTTCACAATGCTTCTGCGATAGATTTCTATTAGGCATATTACCTTGAAACTAAAATATGTTATCTAAAATGTTCACTTTAAAGCTCAACCAGAGAAAAATCAGGTCAAAAGTAAAGATGACGCAAGTTTGAAGTCTCCATATAAAAACCAGCATGGATGAAGAAGCAGAGATGGAATTGTTCAAATGGAATTGTTCAATGTTGGGTAAACGGAAATGTAAACACTTTCATTTGTTAAAGCAGAACATTTCCCAAGTAAACTTACATTCAACATACTGCAACATTTAAAATGAGTACATAAGAAAAACAGATTAAATAACTACAAAAAGAAAAATGAAGACAGACAAGGAAAATAGTGATAAAGATAACTGGGAGATCATACTGCAACCTAAATAAGAACTTAAAATTCAAAGTATTGGAAGAACAAAAAAAATCCATTGCCTGGTATTAAAAGTTATTAAATTAGGGGCCAAGTGTAAAAATAATCTGAAAACATTGTTTTAACATTCCCTCACCTTATCTGAAACATTGTCATCACTATCTTCAGTGGATTTTCCTGAAGAATCAAGGATTAACGGTACAAGTAAAGTTAAAGTTGTTTCTTCTGAACTGTCTGGTTGTAACTTTGACTCTCCATCCAGAACTTCATTTGTTGTTGATCCTTCAGTCACTATTGATACCTTGATAGCATTTTCCATTATCTCTCCATTGATTGGCTCTATATCTGTTTCCTTTAAAAAAATCACATGAGCACATCAAAGTGGTGCATCCATATAGAATCATTCAGAAGAATTCAGACACAACAGGACACTCACACTGTAGTACTGAGGACCTCTCTGAATAATTACTTCCTGAATGCACTCTCTTATTTCCACTATATCCAAAATGAGAGGGGTGCCAACAATTTCAGAGATGACTGCAGCTCTGTCTCTGCATCTCTGCAATCTTTTTGAATGTTAAGATTTTTGTAAAGTCTTCTTAACCATTACTTTTTGTATAGGCAGCCAAGAACAATTTTAAATAAAAGCTATCATAATACTTTATTTGTAATAATGGATAGAAAGAGGTTTACCAATCAATCTGGCTTATGCCATGAGTCAAAGAAAGACTATATTCTGTGACTGTTAGGAACATCATCCAGGTAAAAGGGAGTTAACCATAAGCTAAAGAAAGAGTACAGTATATGATCTATTTCTCTGCCAGGAAGAATTATCAGTTTCTCCAACAGTTTGTTGACTTGATCCTAAGTATCACTCATTTTAACTGAATTCCTACATTTTTCCTCCTAGAGCACTGAAGAAATTAAACAACAAAAACCAAAACATAATTAGTGAAAATAATTAACTTCAAGTGAAAAGACCGGAGACTAAAAAAAAAAAATGGCTTGATTCCTTTTCTAAATTTGGAATGGGGGGAATGAACACAACTTCTGATGGAATATATCTTCTGGTTGAACAGCAATCCAGGCAAAAGCTCTTTCCTGTGTCCCAACTGACTCAGAAACAGAAAATATTTTTAAGAGGGACTCTCCTGCTGATTGGTGTAACTGTATAGTTACTTGATCTTTAACCACTATTCAAAAAGGATGTCAACAAAGAAAGATCACACTTGGCAAAACTGAGTATTATTATTTATTTTATTTATATCTTTCTTTCAACTTTCTTTGTTGGTCAGTCCTCTCCTTTCCCCCCTCTCTCTTCATCCTGTATCTTTATACTCCTAGTTGCTAAACTTTATGACAAGGAATGTCATTTTTTAAAAATGGGGTGTGATCTTATGGAAGACAGCTGTCACAAAGGCAGAATTAAAAAAATACTAGTAACAATAATCGTATTTTTAAAGATATCATCATACCTCTTTATCATCTTGCTTCTCTGGTGGAATATACTGCTGGACTGTTTCTTGGACTGACTGTTTTGAATTCTCCAGTAGCTTTTTCTGCTCACTGTCCATCAGTTTTTCTTCCATCTCATCTATCAATTCTTCTGAATGTTCAGATACATGAATAATAGGATCCAATCTATGCAACAGGAGAAACAACAAAAATACATGTAAAACAACCAATAGCAACTGAGTGATACTGAAACGCACATGACTTGATTTTTAGGACTGTATTAAGTTATATACATTATTTACAAGCAAAGAACAATGGTTGGCACCTTCAGATCTGTTGGGTTATTCAGGCATGCAGGAAAAATACTGGAAACAAATTATTTGGAGGTCAGGTAACCCAAGAATGCTGTTTGTAACATGACACTGACAATAACTACCTAGTGTCTTCCTGAAATATCTAGTCTAATATTTAAACTCTTTTTATTTCTTCTCAATCTTGAGATTTTTGTAACATCTTTCCTGGTGAAGAGTTCTGGAGAACTTTAAAACCTGCAAGACTGCTTTTTACTATTTTGATTGAACTTGATAAAAAGTATTGTCCTGCTACTGATGCTAACTTTAAGGCAGTTTTACATTCATTTCCTGAATTTCACAGTTTAACAATAATATATATTATTCAGTGTGAAATGACATATTGTCTTTCTGTACAAATGTGTGCAAGACGTATTTAAAGATTTTTCATTTGTAATTTTATTGAATTATATACTGTACCTGTTTCCCAATGATTGAGAAGAATTTACATCTTCAGTTTCAGAAATTCCAGGTTCTTGAATTCTTTTCCCCAACTTTGGATGTTTCAGATGATTGCTTCGTGATCGAGTAGGAATTGGTAAAGCAGTAAGTTCTGGAGAATGAAAAACCACCTCAAAACTTAACATTGTGTACAAATAATACCAAGATGTATGAAAAATTCAAACTAAATAACTGCTTTAGCAATGTGTTACTAATGTCTAGGAGGTATTTTTGCCGCAATGTGTAAGGTCTTAAATATCTGATCTTATCTCTAGGAAATCTAAGTGTACTTTCAGCTAGGCCTAATATATCACTATTTCAGTTTAAATAAAATAAATCAGCTTCATTTCTAACACACAGTTGTAAATTTAGTGGGGAATGTCATGCCCAAAATAAAAACCTCCACTGCCATGCTTTCTTGTGGAGTAGTTCTTCAGGAGAGGAGAGAGCAGTCTTGGCATCTGGGCTGGAAAAGTCTCCAGGAGAGCAATTTCATCAGAAAATGGAGAGACTGAATTCAGAAGAGACATGGACAATGGATTATGTGTCAATTTTGAAGAATTTCAATCTGAGTCTCGAGGCTGTTTGGATCTGGATGGAGTGGAGCAGATTATGATTCAATAGATTCAAAACTGAGTTGATGTGGCTGTTTGGCCCTCAGTGTCAAAACTCAATTTTGAGTTGACCATCCTTGGTCTTGAATGGGATCCCATTCAAGACTGGTACACAACTTTGGAGTCCTTCCAGATTTGCTAAAAAAAACAAGGGGCAGCTGTGGCCAGGAAGATCTTTGCCCAAGTACAAATTGTGCACCCTTTCTTTGAGAGAGAGACTCTGGAAACTGTCACTCACATTCTAGTCATCTAACAACTTGATTATTACAATGCACTCTACATGGGGCTGCTCTTGAAGTTCATCCAGGTCTATTACATTGTTTTTCTTCCAACCCATCCAAAAGAGGGGGAGTACTGTTTTATCACGCTTCAAAAGTGTAAGGGCCAAAAGGCAGAATTGCAGACTTGGTTTTTTTCTTCTTCTTCTCCTTCTTCTCCATCATCATCACCATCACCACCATCATCATCAATAATCCTCAGAAGTCAAGATGCAGGTTATAAAAGTCCTATCGCTACTTATAAAGGGCTGGAAGGAAGGGAGGAAGCCAGATAACAGAATCTCCCAAGGAAATGTGAGGGCAATCAAAGTACCAACTATCAACAGTACCACACCAGGAAGGAAGTAGTAGTAGTAGTAGTAGTAGTAGTAGTAGTAGTAGTAGTAGTAGTAGTAGTAGTAGTAGTAGTAGTAGTAATAATAATAATAATAATAATAATAATAATAATAATAATAATAAAGTTGGAAGGGACCTTGGAAGTCCACCCCCCTGCTCAGGCAGGAAACTCTATACCATTTCGGACAAATGGCTGTCCAGTCTCTTCTTAAAAACTTCCAGTGTTGAAGCATTCACCGCTTCTGGAGGCAGGTTGTTCCATTGGTTAATTGTTCTCACTGTCAGGAAGTTTCTCCTTAGTTCTAGGTTGCTTCTCTCCTTGATCAGTTTCCACCCGTTGCTTCTTGTCCTTGCCTTCAGGCGCTTTGGAAAATAGCTTGACTCCCTCTTCTTTGTGGCAGCCCCTGAGATATTGGAACACTGCTATCATGTCCCCCCTCGTCCTTCTCTTCGTTAAACTAGACATGCCCAATTCCAGCAGCCGTGTCATAGAACTCTGGGCAGCAGCAATGATGACGTCTCCTTTCACCTCATGCTCAACCAGGCAGTCCAGCTATCTCCAGACTTACAACTATGACATGAATCTTACTATTGGTTTGAATTTTTCCATCCATATACTGAATCTTTCTGCAATTGTAGTATCAAAATAAAGTGTGTGTGTGTATGTGTGTGAGAGGGGAGAGGGGAGGGGGAGAGGGGGAGGGAGGGAGAGAGAGGAGGGGAGAGGGAGAGAGAGAGAGATTGTCTTTTAGCTAAGACAGCTCCTGTGGAGTTTGGGAGTAGGGAGAAGATGAATGAATATTTTATAAAACAAAATCTCACAAAATTGAGGGCTCCTATTAATAAGTTTCCTTTTGAAGTACCTTCTCTGATCATATGCATTCGTAAACAAAGTGAATAATAGAAAAAAATATTTTGCAAAAAAGATGCATACTGCATTTTTTACCTTCAGAGGTACCTTCATATACATCAAAGCCATCTTTATTTTTATGGACATCAACCTAAAATCAGGGAAGACTTACGTTTATAAATCCATAACATAAAACCAAAATCGTTTAAAGTAAATCATTGCTAATAGATTTCTTTCATTCATTCAATTATATATCCATATTGATGTTTACTTTATTAAACAAAACATCAATATAAAAAGTTAAAATAAATGCAGAATTTAAAGATAAAAGACAAAAGAAAAACAAAGGGCCTGGAAATTTAACATACATGAGAGATCTGAAGGAGAAATAAAAAATGTTAAAATTATACTCCACCAGAACTCTCATCTGTATAGACCAAGATAATCTTTAAGGAAAACATTGTTAATATAGCTAAATGAAGTTCAATCTTTTTTCCTCTTTGGTTTTTTTAGAGCGGTGGGGAGAATTAAAGGCTTTGATCCCATTTTTACTGCTGAAAATTGGAAAAATCACTCCTATAAAATTGCAATTTGCTGATTATTTATGACAGTGGAATTTGGACAAATATTACACACTGCTGAAACCAGACTAAAATCAGGATGTACATGCAGTTGTCTTCTGCCTTTTTCTGCCTGCTTACCACAGCGCTTCACAATCTGAGGCTATCTTTGCAGCCTGTAAACAGAAGCAGCACTAAACATGACTGCTTCAAGCCTAATTCCAAATACATACTTTAATTACACAAGAATATTATAAACTCTGGAGAGTGGGCAAAGCAATGCAAGTTAAATTGGATATTTTAAGAAGTTTCCCATTTTTCCACTTCAATAAAAAACATTTAAGGATTTTGAAAAGGCAAAAATTAATAAAGTCATATGCATACATATAAAACACAGAGCAAATTCTAAATAATTCAAAGGAAGCTATTTTATACCTACACTCAAGTGTGTTTCACCGGGGTCAACTGCCTGTTCATGCGATGGGCTGTTATCTGTGGAAGGGTACAGAAGCTGCTCCTCATTCTGGGAAGTGCTAGCTTCTATTTGCAAGGCTTCTTGTTCATAGGGAAAAAAAATTAAAAATGCAACCATTTCAAAATATTATCTCCTAGTATCTGTTACTAATAAAATTCTTTTCTGCTTATTTCTGTTGGCAGACCACAGCTAACTAAAAGAGCAGGCTCTATTTTGTTTTCCACTAGAGCCAGTACAGAACCCCCATTTGGTCAACTCTAGAAAGGTGCACAATAGTCCTTATAGGCACAGAACTCTGGACCCATCTGGAGGGCCAGAATGGGACAACTCACTGCAGCCATTTCGCCATGGGAAAATCGCTACAGGACAACTCACCACGGGTTCCCTTTGCAAGTTGTCTCAGAGTGAGTTGGCCACAGCAGGTTGTCCAAAACCTGGAAGCTGGGACTTTTCTTTTTACAGCAGCACAATAATCTTCCATCTATAAATCTACCCTGGTTCCCTTACCCCAAGCAATCTTCCTTCAGTTCCATAACTTGGGCTTGCAAGCAAGTTTCTTTGCTGTTCTTAAAAAATAGAAATCTTTCTAGAACCTCAGGAAAACACCCACCGACTAGTAAAACTTCTCAGTCTCTATTTTGTGTCTAACTGCATTATATGTCAATACCCTCCTACCTTTGAGTTTTAAACTTTCTCTCTGCAAAACGCTAGCTACAGGTGTTCGCTGGTGCCAGTGGCCTATGCCTTCAACTTCCCACAGAAGGTCACGATCCCCTGGATACCTTTCAAAGTACTTCTGGCAAGCTGAGCAAGATAAAGAGAACACATTCAGTAAAACATCTATAACACAGATTTGTTTTTATTTTATTTTACAAGCTTCCCACTTTCTCCCCCCCAAAAATGGCAACACTATTTTTAACATCTGCTTTTAAGGGAGCATTAGAAACATAATTGTGTCACAAACAGAAGCACAAGAGCATCCTGCAGTTTGTAGAGAATAGGTACATACATCTGTCCTCATTGCTTACAACTGCTTTAAAAGCCATAGATGGCTTTTTGACTGCTAAATGTTCATCTTCCATAATATACCAATGAAAGCAGTGCAGAATATAAACAGTTCAATACTTCAGATCTTAAAACCCCAGGGAATCCTTAAAATCCTTAATTTCTTAGATATTTGTCTCTTGTGTGCATAAGGATGGACTTGAGGCTAAAATAAGTAATACCTGTAGTAACAGGGAATGCAAAGAATGTGTTCTGACAAATGAGATATGCAATATCCATTCAGAATGTCAAACTCTACTCCTAAACTGCAGACTATGAACATTCTGAAGTATCTTCCACCAGGTCTTACCAGTATGCATGAAAGATGTCAGAGGGAAACGTAAACCAAGGGCATCTTCTGTGAAAGAATCCACAAAATCTTCCAGCATCAGAAGCCCAAAATCTTTACCCTTATGCTTCTTCCTCACAAACATTGTGTCCAGAACAGGAAGCTGGTAGCTCTGAGTAACAAAGGCACTACATATGCTCCCTGCAAACACAACAGCCAACTCTAATTAGCATTTCAGAAAGAGTCATCTTTATATACCTGAGGTATTTTATTTCCCTAAAATAAGTTTTCAAATATACATACCAAGGGCTCTGGGCAACAATAATAAAATACATAAAAGCCATAAAAGCTTTAAACTCTAAAAAGACTGATTAAAATATGTTTTTGAACTTTAATAACAATAGTTGACTCCATAATATTGGCCGTGCAATCCATCACCCTGGTGTAAAGTCGATCACATTCTCTTAGATCATTATAAGGGGATCTTTTGTCCTTTCCACTGATCCTGTCCTGATTATTGTGCATGTAACTCAAGCAAAATCCAAATAATGATTCGTAGGCATATTGAGCAGTCTAATTGCAATAACTGGTTCTTCACATTCTTCAAATTAGAATAAGCTGAAAGGTCAGAATATGCATTATGAAATCATACAGTCTGGTTTTTTTAACAAAAAAATATCTCCTTTTATACTCAGGAACAAAATCTTAGTCTTCCCTTAACTTTGCCAAGAATCGTTGTTTTTATCTTCTTATTGCTACCATAGCTACTCCAGACCAGGCATTATCAAACTGATAACTGAATACAGATGACAACCCTAGATGCAGTCACGGTTAGCAAACTAGAAGCAAATAATGTGAAAGCAATCTATTATGGAATTTGATCCTCACTGCTCCAGCCTGCAAGTAACAAAGGAGCAGGTTAAGCAAAACTGCTCTCCACTAATAGGAATGTACTATTCCAAAAATAGGCAAACCATCCCCTAACCCTATCTAAAAACTCTGCACAAAATTATTCAGGAAGGTCCAAATATCAGCAACCAAAACAAAAGAATCCCTTGCCATCTGCTTTTTAGCCTCCCCCAAGGTTTGGCAAGTCACAGCAGAAGGGGGGGCCATCTGGCCAAATATCAAGTTTCTAAGACCTGTCAAGGCCATATAATTTGTTGCAGTTGGCAACTGATTTCCTTGGAAGTAAGACAGGGAGGGAGGGAGGGAGGGAACAATCAATAAGAGGGTTCTTTAGACATTCATTACATGGCTTTTTTAAAACTATTGCAATTTTAAACCGAACAAAGGAGGATTGTTTTTTGCTTACAATAAGAAAAAAGAAAGGGAAGTTTGCATTCAGGCCCTCAATTAAAATAGTTTAAAGTCCATTTGAGAATACAATAAATGAACAAAGACACTGATGATCTGTCCTATTTGTTAGCAGTCTGTAAAGAGAGGCAAATGAGTCTATAACTTTAAATATGATTTAAGATGTCAAGAATTAGCAAAAGAATTTGGTGACATCAATCTCACGCAACTGCATTTAAATCTGGGTAAGTAGATTTGAGGAAATAACACTGGCTTAATCTGTAGAAATTTAATTTCCTTCTCTAATTTCCTTTTCTTCATTGATTTCTAACTTTGAGTGTCCATATTTAGCATTGACAACTGAAATAAACTTACATTCTCATATTGTGCATAATGCTACCAGCGTATCTCAGTTTGAACTAACGTGATTAATAACAGACACAGTATCGAGAAGCTTAACTGAGGCTTCTCTGAAGAACTAGAATCATGAATGGAAGCCCAAAACCTTCCACGAACTTCTGTTGGATTTAATGACAAATACTATATCAATGCACAGCTGCAGTAAAAGCTTGGGTTGAGGCCAATAAGATGAAACTTATCAAGGTATGTGTAAACTTTTTTTTCTGAGCTAAAAAGCTTGAAGGATCACCTCTTTCTATATATTTATTTTGTTATAAAGCTGTTTCCTAGGTTCCTAGAACTATGTGATTTCTATAAAGACAAATTTACAAGTTTATGCTATCTTCAGTGATAGAAGTCAATGACAGTAATTAGGTTCATAAGCAGTTTCACCAACAACAATCATCACCATCTTCATCCCTATCACCACCACCAGCTCCTAAGGAATCATTCTTTTCTGTATCCTATTGGATAGGTAAAAGAGCTCCTTTCCCATTTCCAAAATAAAAATGCAGTTGTATATAATGGAGTTGTATATACTAGTTCTTTGCAAATGAAGTTAAAAGATGAGCTCGTTTTCAGTTTGCTTCGTATTACAATTACTTTTTCCATTTTAAAGAATAGTCTTACCTGGCAGTTTAATAGAATAAAAACCAATAGCCATTCCTTTCTTCCACAGAATTTTTGCATAATCATGGCTACCATGGCAAAGAAATGGGACCTCATTTTTCTCAATTTCTTGTTTACGATAAATTATTCTGTTGAGCACATAAAGAACCACTCTTTCCCCAATTGATTTCACCTAAAAAAAACACATATGAATTAGAAAACATAGCCAAAGGTCTCATATAGTTAAAATCCACATTTATACTTCCAAAAGAATGAAAGCAGAATGGGGTTTTATTTTTGATTATGGTTTCGATATTAGTTAATTTGCTTACATTTGTAAAGCACCTCAAACAATTTAGGACAAAAGTAGGTATACATATCTATTTAATAAAACAAAAATGAGGTATGGAAAAAACCTAGGAGGGCAATTCTACATTATGAACTTGATTTAAAATAGCTCAAAAGTGAGGATACAGTGACTAGAAAAAAAAGATATAAATACAATTAATACATTACAGTTTTCTGAAGAGTTTTAAGAACTATAATGTTGGGATAGAATTGCTAATTCTTCAGAGCCCAGAATTCATTCAAATAAAATGATCTGAGTGAAGTTATCTTGGATTATACAGTACAAGAATAAGAAATCCACAGCTGAACTGCAAATCCCAGCAGCCCTAGCCAGCATGACCAATTATGAGAGATGCTAAAAATATAAAACAATTGCACTGATAAATCCTTATCCCAGGCATTGTCCATATTATAAGCACATAAACGGCTCATTACTACAATTCAAAATTCTTGACACAGCTCAACACAAGCAATTCTATTCCAAGTAAATCAGAACTGCACACTTGAATAAGCCAGATATTTCTTTTATTTGTGCTAAGCTTTAGATTTCATTATCAAACACTTTACTAGAGGTACAACTTTATTTACCCGTAGAAGTCCTTCTCTAGAAGGAGATGATGTTCTCAAAATATCATCAATAGTCCACCACTGATCAGCCAGAAACAAGGCAACAGCTCAAAGAGAAAAAGAATATAAAGTAAGAATGTGTTCAGTCTTTCAATTCTAATTATGCCTAGTTATAGAGGTATATATTTCACATTACTTTTATTCTTAATTATAGCACTAAATGCATGTTTAGTACATGCATTTCTTAGAAAGCAGGGATCGGTTCCATTTTAAAAGCCGTCACTTCTCAGCTGGGTAATCCCATCATAGGTTCATTTTCAAAAGATCTGTGAGTTCTACATGCAGGAGACACCTTCTGAACAGAATGGCAGCCAAAACATTTTGGGTTCCACCTCAATTTCTAAATTACCAAATTTAAAGAAACTACTTATTTGAATAAATAACTACTTACTGCTTACTTGAATCAAAGGAAGCCCTAATCAGCTATCAGTCCCTAACTAAAATTAGGGAAAGGAATATACACCCAGGAAAAATTACAAATCTTTACAGTACTATAATAGCAACAAAATGGCAACAAATGATAGTTTGCTCTTGTAAGAACAATTACAATTAACCTTGGGTTCACAAATGATTTCATGTAAGAGGAGAATCTTCAAGAAAACCCTGAATCTTCAATTCCAGGCTAATTTTCATTGAAATTACCTATTTAATCAAAGCATGGGAAAATGATTGAATCAAGTCTGATTGAAATGATTCAATGATTGAATGATTCAATCGATGACTGAATCAAATCCTTCAAACATTATAAAACTGGAAGGAAGAAGCTATTCACACTAAAAGTCTTTTTGCCCAGTTTCAATTGCACCCCCATTTTATCATGATTTCTACAGTATTTCTAAACACTTCATATCAAAAGCAACAAATCACACGGGAACCAAAAAAGGAATAATTCAGATCAGAATGCTACAGTGTTACAATTCAAAATATAAGAGAAACCTGCAAGTGAGTCCTCAGGTGCAAATAAAGCAAGAACTTTGTGTCTTTCTTCTCCACCATAAAGGGGGATGAACCCTACGGTTGACAAACAAATTGGAACCTAAGAGGGAGAAAAGAAGTTCAACATTTTTACTTTTATTCATTTGGATCTATGAACTGTTGACACAGTACATTCTTGAATGAAGAAACACTAAAGACGGAGACTCATGCCCTGGTTATCAAACTAATGCAATTCTCTCTATGTTGAGTTGTCCTTAAAAGGAAGTGGTAGTTGGTACATAATACAATAGCTTGCTTTTGGACTGGTATTAGTCAAATTAGCAGAATACTACCTACTCTGGCTGCCAGTAGGCTTCTATGCTGAATTCAAGATGCTGGTCATCATATGTATGATCCATTATGGCTTAGAGCTTTGTTGCCTGTAGGCGCAACAAAATGCCCACCCTATACAATCTAACGGTCAACTTTACAAATGAGCATGGTTGCAGCCATTTTCCTTCGCATTTGAGATTGCCACATAGAATGGGAGAATGACCGTGGGAACCAAGGTCTTTGGCTGCTCCCGAGACTAGAGACTGGGCGTTTCATAAAAAGCCCACCAAATAATCATATTGGGGAACGTAGTTGCTTACAAAGCTTTTGTGGGTGGGACATTTAACTTTGTTATTGGGGAACTGTTGCTTGTGTATCCAGGCTTGGTTTCACTTTTGACATGTCGATACTTTGTAACTAATAAACATGTTCTTTGAGGAATTTGCAAGTCTCGGAGTTCTCCTTTATTCATCTCTATCTGTCGGAACCATGACACTAACAGGGAAAGAATGCTCTAGTTACCCACCCTCAAAGGACTGGGGGGGCTGGGAGCCAAGAATGACACTCTGAGCAGTATCCCCTTTTGTGGGGAACAGCTTGCCTGCTGAGATCAGATGTACCCCCATTCTGATGGCTTTTCACAAAATGGTGAAATCAGTCCATTAAGTGATGAAAATATGCCTAATGCTACAATAATTTATTAACAGTGTTTATTTCATATTTATTGTAAGCTTCCTCAAGTTGTAAGGATGGGTGGCATACAAATTATTGAATAAATAATTAAATTAATTGAATAAATAAATAAAACAAATCATTCAGACATATAATAGAAACAATAATAAATTCATTGCCCCAACCTTCCAGCCTTTAAAGGTTAAGATAAAATGGCAAGAGAATACAGAATAGTAAGCACTGGCCTCCATTTGTTTTGCTGAATCAATTACTAAGACTCAAGGCTGCAAACTAAAAATAAAAGTCCAGCTGTTAAACTGCTGAAACAGCAATAACAGAAGACTGTGGAATCCTTGATGCGCTCTGAGTGTGGTTGTTTGTTTGCAGACATTTCATTACCCAACTAGGTAACTTCATCAGTGCTATAAGGTATATCGTTGCTCCCTATTTATATTTGATTGATTGCCCTTCTACTGTTGGTAAGGGTAGTTTCACTACAAGTAGTTCAAGAAACTACTCAGTGGTTTCTTAATTAGAGTAGATTAATTAGATTAGTAGATTAGAGTAGAGTAGAATTAGATAGACTTAAGATATAGAAGGATCTTGACAGACTTGAACACTGGGCACTATCTAACAAAATGAAATTTAATGGTAAAAAAAGTAAGAGTCTGCATTTAGGCAAGAAAAACCAAATACACAGGTACAGTATAAGTGGTACCTTGCTCAATAGTAGGAACTGTGAGAGGGACCTTGGAGTCCTAGTGGACAATCACTTAAATATGAGCCAGCAGTGTGCTGCAGCTGCCAAAAAAGCCAACAGAGTGGTAGGCTGCATTAACAGAGGGATAGAATCAAGATCACGTGAAGTATTAATACCACTTTACAATGCCTTGGTAAGGCCACACGTGGAATACTGCATCCAGTTTTGGCCACCGCGATGTAAAAAAGATGTTGAGACTCTAGAAAGAGTACAGAGAAGAGCAACAAAGATGATTAGGGGACTGGAGGCTAAAACATATAAAGAACGGTTGCTGGAAATAGGCATGTCTAGTTTAATGAAGAGAAGGACGAGGGTGACATGATAGCCGTGTTCAGTGCTTTTTTTCTAAAAAAAAAAAGGGGGCTGGAACTCACACACGTCATACTTGCCTTGCCTACTCTACAAGGTTCCATCCAAAAAAGGTGCCGGAACTCCGTTCTGGGTGTTCTATGAGAAAAAAAGCCCTGGCCGTGTTCCAATATCTCTAGGATTGCCACAAAGAAGAGGGAATCAAGCTATTCTCCAAGGCAGGATAAGAAGCAATGGAAGTTTTTAAGAAGAGATTGGACAACCATTTGTCTGAAATGGTATAGGGTTTCCTGCCTGAGCAGGGGGTTGGACTAGAAGACCTCCAAGGTCCCTTCCAACTCTATTATTGTTGTTGTTATTGTTATTGTTATTGTTGTTATTATTGTTGTTATTGTATTGTTTTCCAGTTGATTGTATTGTATTGTTTTCCAGTTGATCCCTGCTTATTAGGGTGTTGGCTACTGGAGAGGATGTGTTCTAGTCTTTTTATTTCCTTCTTAGTTTTCTTACTGTCACTTTTGAATGGCATGTAAAAATGGTTTAAATCCAACAGTGGCAGTGCAAGCTATTGCATATAAACAGGGAGCAAGAAACATATTCAATAGCACAAATGATTTTATCAGGTGAAGTGATTAAATGTCTGCAAGCAAACAACCAAGCTCAGAGAGCACCAAGGATTTACAGTTTAGTTCTGTGTTACATATATTCTCTTCTACTGGAGATTATTTGTTGAGTATTTTCTTCCAAGTTTGGATGGTGACTAGCGAGCCTGCAGACAGTGCACATTACCTATCTGACAACATCAATAATCTGGAAGGGATTTTTTAAAAATCATCTAAAATTATACAAACAAAGAATATCTATAAACATTAATATGAACTAGCTATGACTCCAATCTTACCTTGATATTATCAACAAGAGAGAAATATTCTGGATTTTCTGGATCTCCACATCTAAGTTCAGATAGACAATCCTCTCCAGATCTCTCCAGATCTTCATGATTGTAGTTATCCAGGAGATCCACAGGGAAGTCCATCCCTTTGGGAGAGTTCACAAACACACACAGGATTATTGCTGTAGTCATTACATCTTAGGAATCCAAATGGAATTTTTAAAAAATTATATGTATATCAGAGTAGCCTTCCCCAAACTGATAGTCTCCAGATGTATAGGAACTGCAACACATTAAGCCATTACAGGCTAGGGTTTTGAAACTTACAGTAGTTCCAACACATCCTCAAGGTGAAAAATTGGAGAAAACTATTTATAAATTTTTAAAAAACTGCATACCATCCCACTCATTTTTTTTGCACCCACTTAGAACATGTTATCTAAAGTATACATGCAGCAGCTCAGAATTCCAAGAGGATATACATGTAGTCCTCGGTTTACAAAAGCAATTGGGACTGGAATGGCCATTGCTAAACAACATGATCATAAAGCACATCATGCTAGCATACCACTTAGTAACAGGAATTTCAGCAGTGCTGATTACTATAATTGAGGACTATGCATGTCATTAAGTGAGGACCTCACATGACCAACATATGACTTCCTGCCAGCTTCCCCATTGACTTTGACTGTGGAAAGCCAGCAGGGAATGTCAGAAATTACAATCATACAACCACGGGGATGCTGTGACAGCAGGAACTCCAAGGACCAGTCGTAGGTCCACTTGTTCAATACTACTGCATGTTTGAACAGTCACTGAACAAATGGACATAAGCCGAGCACTACCTATGCCAAGGAAGCAGGCAGAATTGTACACTGATAGAGACTAAATCGTTAACTGGATCAGTGGCCCCTATGCTGCATCCTACTACTCTGAACCACATATTCCATCTGTACCATATTAACTCCATTCTTCATTTAACCTACACATGAAATTGGAAAACAATTAAAAAATTCTCAACTTTTTAATTCTCCTTGCGCAAGGAATTAAATCTATCTTTAGACCTTATTCTGTCAGACAGAATAATGATCAGGTAGGAAAAGCATTTACCTCAACCACCTAATCCAATTTTCAACAGGGAGACCAAAATTACCAACTTAAGCCAATGCAAAATGCAAACAGAGTTAAAAAAATTATACAAGTAGTTCTCAACTTACAACAGTTCATTTAGTGACTGTTCAAAGTTACAATGGCACTGAAAACAGTGATTTTCAACCATTTTTCACACTTACAACCATTGCAGGATCCCCATGATCACATGATCAAAATTCAGAAGCTTGGCAACTGGCTCATATTTATGACAGTTGCAGTGGCCCAGGGTCATGGGATCACCTTTTGCAACCTTCTGACAAGAAAAGTCAATGGGGTAAGCCAGATTTACTTAACAACTATGTTACTAACTTAACAACTGTAGTGATTCATTTAACAACTGTGGCAAGAAAAGTCATAAAATGGGGCAAAACTTACGATAAATAGAAATAGAAATTTTGGCCTCAATTGTGATCATAAGTCAAGGACTACCTGTACAAAGTTTCATAATACACTATAATACACTACAACATTTTAATTACTGAACTACATTGTATTTATTCTATATAAATTTGATTATAATAATCTATATACTTTATGGAGGTTGGGGGTGGTATCCATGAGAAATCAAAGTAACACCATCCCTATTTTTAATGCAACCTGCCATCTAGATCAGGGGTGTCAAACTCAATTTAATTGAGGGCCGCATCAGCATTGCAGTTGCCCTCGGGAGGCCGAGTGGGTGTGGCCAGGGTGGGTGTGGCCTACTGGATGGGCATGGCTAGCTCTACATCGTTCGCGTCAAGGGTGCCTGTGGGGGCTCAGCCTCTTGGCGCTGTGAGGAGAGCGCCCCACTGCCTGCCGAAACCCCTCTCCCGGAGCCCATCAAGCCAGATATGTGAAGTAGGCCAGGACCATTTGCTGGCCACTTCCAGGCGATGGTGCATTCCTTCATTCCTCACAAAGGGCGACACCTCCCCAGCATGCACCCAGGGAGCGGGGCCGACGCAGCAGGGGCTGGTTCCTCACTGTTTCCAGATGGCCTTGTAGACTGAATACATTTCAGCATAGATGGCCACTACAAAATTGTACATTGGCTCCCAGCCGGCCTGGACCAGGGCCAAGGCAGCGGGGGCCGTTCCCTCACTGTTTCCAGGATGGCTTCGCGGGCCACACGAAACCACTTCACGGGCCGCATCCGGCCTGCGGGCCTTGTGTTTGACATGTCTGATCTAGATAATTGCTTAGAATAATTTCCTGAAATTTAATGATTTAACAAAAAATGGGTTAAGGCTCAAATCTGCTAGCAAAGTAATTACATTTTTCTAAATTACAGCAAGAGAAAAATGTTACCAAGTCTCCTCTTCATCCTGACACTTATTGTACATGTTACAACAGAATAACAACATTGTTTTACATGAAAAAGCAACATCAATACTCTCTTGCTCTTCATCATTGTTTATTTGAAATACATTATACTATTTTACGTACTATGTTTTCTTAGAAATAAAATGAAATAACAAAACAAAAAAATAGAATGTGTAAAAATAGCTACACGACAGTCAGCATCAAAAATACAAAAGATAAAAATGCCTGGATAAAGGGTGAGCCCTAAAAAATTAAGAAATGGAAGCTAAGGTAGGGACCTCCTAAATCAGACTTCTAGAAAGGCCACTATAAGGGAGAAGGCCCACCTGTTAGATTAACTGCCTCAGCCTTGGAGCATAGTAGTAACACCACCAGACTTCATCTAGAGCAGGGGTCTTCAAACTTGGCCCTTTTATGACTTGTGGACTTCAACTCCCAGAATTCCTCAGCCAGCGTGGCTGGCTGAGGAATTCTGGGAGTTGAAGTCCACAAGTCATAAAAGGGCCAAGTTTGAAGACCCCTGCTCTAGAGATATAAAAGGCTGGGTTCACACATACTAGGAGAGCCTTTCCAGAAAAGAACCAGTTAATCTAGAGACAGAAAATGCAATGGGACTTTTTGCCATAACAAAAATAACAAACAAAATGTGCCAGAGATGTTCCAAATAATATGCACCTCATTTCTAAAAAGGTTTCTAAGCTAGGATTAAAGAGAAAATTGGGGACTGGCTGAAGTTATACACACACACACATACACAAATGTACACACATATACTTGGCTTTTCTCACAAACAGTTTACGGCAGCTAAAGTACAATTCACAAGTAGCTTTTCATCTAGCCATCATATATATTTTAAAGGTATTCTCTATTAATTAAAATTCCCTAAAATAGTTAACAAATTAAGGAACAAAAATCAATTTAAAGATAAAACATGTTTACGCAAAATGATTAAAACACAAGAAATAAAAAATAGCATTTTAACAAAAAAAAAGGGGGGAGCAGAATATCACAGCTGACATTTTTATCGTGATTTTTGACTGCCTCAAAAAAGGGCAATCATCTGTCACTCTATATAAAGCTTCTAGGTAATTCTTATTATTATAAGAATAGAACAGAAAACAGAATCTAGAACATGATAGACAGACAGACAGACAAATAGAATTACAATCGTTTTCAATTACTGAAATGTTCAGGAAGAAGAAACAAAATAGAAGTTACCCATCTGCATTCCAGGAGCTCAATTTAAAGTTCTCCTTCTTTGCTGTTTCTTTCATGGACCACCCCCTCAAAAAAGGCAAAAATATTGAAGGTTTCAGAAAATGAAATTATCTGTTGGATTTACTGCAATGGTTCTTTGTCTACACAAGAGACAGGGCATCCTACAATGGGTATCTCCCTCCTACTAGCCCTGGAGGCAAAACTAGAAAAATGTGCTGTTTTCATACAGTAGAGCCAGGAAATTCCATAGTGGGACATACCAAAGCTATTCCTGAGGATGGAATCTTACAACCATAAGGCCCCTAATCCCCACTGGGAACTATTTTCTGTAATACTCTCCCTGGTTGAATGGAATCTGCAGCCAAGTGATGAAAGTTAAGTTTGTATGCTTTATAAAGGAGCCATGGAGGGCTAGTTGCTGTCTGCCAAAGGCATTTAAGTGGGGGACAGCTAATGTGGTTGTCCTAGATCTAGTCAAAAGTGCCAGAGCTCTTCATGTGGTAGGCTTATTTAGTTTGATGCAAACCCTGATCTACCTGGAGATTATGACTGGTAAGGCTTTGAAGCCTAAGTAGGGATATCAGAAGGCAGAAGCATGGATCCCTGATGAAAAACAACTTCACTTTAGTTATGAAGGTTGGGTCTAACACAGGATGATGGTGACCAGCTGAATGATGCTGAACACTTTCTTTGCTGAGAGGATTCTGGCAGGATTCTGGCTACTAGAAACAGTACTTTCTAAGTCAGCTGCTCTAAGACTAACCTGTCTAATGTTTCAAACAAGTCTTAAGTTAGGGTTTAGCATCCTAGCTGAAGATCCCATAACAGATTCCAGTAGATAGTGAATCATCTAATAGGGAGATCACTGCTCAGGAATATCTTGACAGAAGATAATTTTTTTGATTCTCACTACTGAAATCTAGGAGGGGGCTGAGACTTGTCTATTGAGGGTTGGAGTTCCTTGCTGAGGATTTTTTATAGTGGTAGAAACTGATGTGAAATTTCTTTTTCTTGGCCCATCTGCAGAAACTCACAGTGTTGAGGGTTTCTTCCTTTTAGTCCATGTGAATGCTTACTATCTGAAGTGTGGAGTCTTGGGGAAGTTATAATGGTCTGTATGCTTTTGCTATAGCACCCTTGGCTGACAAAATAGTCCCACTCATTCTCCAGACATACATATATTTATAACCATTTGGAATACGGATGGTTTAATTTTCCCTGTCCCTGCAGGTCTGATGATTCCAGGATACAAGGACAAGATCTCCTGGACCAACTGAATGCTATTAGACTCAGGTTCAGGCTCTACTTCAGGAACCAGTGGAAAAGCATGTAATAGGTCTAGATCAGCTGTGCCAGTTCTCAAGAGTTCTGATGCATGAGATTAATCACATACCCTTGTTATTGGTCGGGAACTTGCTGGTCCTCCAAACGTCAATGTAATTTGCTCAAACACACCTGGGGTTGATGTTCC